CACTTCTTTTCGTTACACAAGATCTTGAAATCTGATTGGCCAGCGAAATTAATTAGGGTGGTGATTTAACTGCTGTTTATGCCCTAATGAATAACAGTAATTTTAAAAATTTTAAGATTCAGAATATCCAGAGAACAAAATAATTCTCCACCCAAAATTTTTTCAAAGTAAAAATCTACGTATTAGAGTAGGGTACTTAATTTGCTATTAAGTTGGTGCTTAAAAGTGTTTCTTATATCAAAATTTTGCAAGGAATTTTTTTATTAGTACGCAGAAGGCGATTTCATAGACTAAATTTTGAGTTGTGGGCGATTTTTGACGAAGCGAACATTTGTTTTGAATTTTCCTGATCGTGTTACGTTACACCTGTTCTTGAAATTTGATTGGCTATTTAGGATAATTGAAAAATTTTGGGTTACATCATATCGTCAAGTTTCGTAAGACGAAACCATTGACGAAAACATTTCGTCAGTGCCAAATAGTTTCGTTAGGCATCATTAGCTCCAACCGGTTAGTTTGTGCTTAAAAACCCGTTGGAACACTTCGAAGCATTTACATAAAACCAGTTCTCGAACTCAGTTTATGCATATGTAATAGTTATGCTTGCATAAACAATCCAATAAAATCTGGTTTCTATAATTTGCACTTAGGGAGATTTGACTATATATTCAAATTCCTTATTAATAACCAAAAAATCTCTTGCAACAGAACTAAGCTTTATTTTATTGTTTAATATATAAGATGGATTAGCGCGTGAAAAAAATGGGTTAGACGCGTTATCAACCAAGGTCAAAGGCCCAAAAAAGCTTTTTCGGGTTTGGCATTGATTTATTAATATGTAGTTTGTAGATGTGTTATCCTGCTTCATGTAACATAAAATAACTTGTAACAATAGCTTGAATTAATTTTTTCTAAGTAACTTCATTCGAAATGACACTAGTAACAAGTTTGGTTAGTAGCAAAAAAAAAATTAATCTCGAAACAAAGTAATTGCTTTCGAACAATTTTGAAGCAACCCGGTTTCATAATCGAGTTTCTAAGTATTAAAATGATATTATTTACATTATATATTGAGTTGAATTACTAACTGCCATTAGTGAAGTATGTTCTTAAAAGCATTATGAATAAGTTTAATTAGTCACATATCAAAAAATAATCATAGTAATTATCACGGGGTTATACAGTATCTAGTTTTCTGATATCCAACTCAAAGGCACAGTGTCTCTTTACTCTAGAGACTTCAGTGTTTAAAATCTATATGCGGAATCTGAGGTGCGCAGATTGAAAATTAATTCCGCAAGTGAAATTTTCTTTGAATCTGCGGATTTTATTATGTGTCATATATGTCACACATCTATTTTTTGAATTTTTATTATGTTTACAAAAATTATTAAGCTTTTCCGCATATTGAAACAAAATCGAATTTTAAACACTGCTTCGCACTAACACTTTTACAGGTAATTACACTTTAATACCGTTCCTTATTACAACAATTACTAACTGCTTTTCTTTATTATTGTCTCTATTTATCTATTTATATTTATTCTAATATAATAACATCATTTATGCTACCTTATACTTTAATAAACTTTTAACTATTCTCTAATTACATTGCATTACTGCATTACCGTCATTGTTTCGTCGATCGACGATCACGTGCCACGTGACCCTGATAATGCTACCCAACACTATTGACCCCATCGTAATGCTGCCCGTTCGTTCGACCACGGGACCTGTCGAAGCACATTCTCGACCTTCCTTTACCTTTTTGAATTAACTATACAACTCATTATCGACCAACATCTCTCTTACCAAGTACAGGGGTTTACCAAGAACTATGCGACAGTAATAATGAGCAAATCTCATTAAGCGGATTTGAGCATTTTAAGCAGGATAACATCCATAGTAATTTGGTAACTAAATTATGAATCAAATACTCAGATTTGATGACCGAATTTTAGCTTGGTTTCATAAATTCATCGTGAAGTTTTGTTATATCGATATATCACTTTTTATTAACAAGAATAACATTTTCAGAAAACACTCAAACGAAAGATTAATTCCTTTTATGATACCATATACTCTTAAATTTTAATTTGTCAGAAAAATGAACTCGCAGGAAATTTGCCTGCGAAACGGTGTAAGGGATAATACGATCTTAGTCCTTATTACCTGCAATACAGCCACAGGTAATGAAGCAAATTCTTTAGAGAAAGTTGTGTTTAAATCATGGCAATAATTGTATAGGTTGCCAAAATATAGTAGCGAAGATACAGATATGTTATTAAAGGATGATGCCAATTGTTACGATCATTTGTATTATTGCGGGTTGTCACATACAACAGTTACGCATAACTTTTTTCAACTTTAATGTTAGACGGCTTTTATTTAATGACCTCAATAAAAAAAAAAAATAATACTATTTAGATACTACATAATTATGTTAAAAAAAAGAAAAAGAAACTGTAGGCCTAAAAAGTATTTCAGTTATTTTTTTTTACTGTAAAAAGTTGTTATAACTTCCATACATGCTGGTATTTTTTATTTGACTCTCTTGTTGCGAATAAGAATAATTACTTAAATAAGCTTCAACATATTTTGCCTCAATCATTTCAAAAATTCTTCTCCCTTTTTCGCTATCACCGTAAAACCTTGGAGATTTGTCGAATTTTTGATCCTTGAGACTTTCCTTCATTTCTCTTGTTTCATGTGCAAACTTTTGAGTAGCGCTAAAAACGTTAATGAAAGACTCATTCGGAGGTTGTTCTGTATTTGCAAGATACATTTTGGTATCATCCAAAATTTTCCTTCCTTCACCCTTCAATGACTCATGCACACCAATTAAAAGACGACCTAAGTCAGGTGAGCAATTTTTTTCAGTTATCTCCGAATAATCAATCCATTTATAAAATTCTACCAGCGCATACTCCTTGACTTCTGGAAGAGGGGTTGATTTAACCATTCCGGACAAAGTCAATAAATTGGTTAAAGCTGTATCGTAGTAATCCTCAGCAGATCCACTGTGATCTTTAATGGTTCCTTTTGTAGTCCCGTAGATTTGGTTTTTTTTAGGATATTTGTTTGTTTTCGCGATATATGCTTCGACACCTTCTAGTTCATAGCTCAAGCTATCAAGCAATAACTGATAATCCCAAGCTTGAGCATAAATAACTGTGAGTTGAGCAGCCATTCCTTTTGTCGTAAATGTTATTATTAATGGGTGTGATATAAAATCAATTTGATATCAAAGTTTATTTTGCAACTTTGATTTAATTCACGTCTAACGAAAGAAAAAATACTAAAGATGAAATGTGTGTTTATATATTTCAAGATTTTTGTTTTTCACATACCAATAAAAAATGAGTATTATTTTCTACAAAGCCGTCTTACAAAAAATAAAAGTTTTTTATGATTCCAATTCAAGTAAT